CTTTCTTTCAAACCACCACACTCTTCCCCTTAAAAAAAAAAATCCAGTGGTGGGCATGGTAGCACACAGTTTTAATCCTACCACTGAGAAGGCAGAAAGATCTCTGTGAGTTCAAGACCAGCCTGCTCTACAAATCGAGTTCCAGGACAGGCAAGACTACATAGAAAGCCCCTGTTTCAAGAAATAAAAAATTAGCCGGGCAGTGGTGGCGCACGCCTTTAATCCCAGCACTCGGGAGGCAGAGGCAGGTGGATCTCTGTGAGTTAGAGACCAGCCTGGTCTACAAGAGCTAGTTCCAGGTCAGCCTCCAAAGCCACAGAGAAACCCTGTCTCGAAAAGCCAAAAAAAGAAAAAAAAAAAAAAAAAAAAAAAAAAAAAGAAAAGAAAAGAAAAGAAATATCATTAGTATTTAGTGAGTTGTTGGCTTAGCCTAACTTAGTGGGTAAAGGCAAGCCTGATGACCTGAATTTCATTCCTGGGAGAAAACTGACTTTTCAAAGTTGTCCTCTGACCTCCACATGTACACTGTGACCCACATTAAATTAAAAAAGAAATCAACTGAGCATGGTGATGCACACCTTTAATCTCAGCATTCGGGAGTCAGAGGCGGGGAGATCTCTATGAGTTCTAGGTCAGCCTGGTCTACATAGTGAAGGGACCAGGCCCCTGCTTTAGCAGCCATGACAGGCTGCAGGAAAGACTTAACATGTGCTTGCCTGACCTTGCCCCTCCTGCCCCAGTCATTAGATCAGATATCCTCCTCATGGCAAGGAACCAATCAGAAGTTAGCTGGCAGGGCTATGCTTTATGGCTCTATGCTTTATATACAAGTGCACACCAGTGATATGCAGAGCCTAGCAACCGCCCTGGGAGGACCTATGGGCCATAACAACCAGTTGACCAATCAACACAGGACAGATCGCCCAAGCCCAGAAGCGTACCAATCCTGAGACTGCTGCTTTTGCATCGAAATGGGTCTCTTGGTGATTTTGGGGTTTCAGAGTTCCAGGACAGTCAGGAACCTATGAGAACCTGTCTCAAAGAAAAAAAAAAATCATTAGTAACTTCTAAAACGAATGATTCCAAACTTTTGATGAATTAAGAAAACATTTGCTACTACAAAAAATAGTTCCCAAATCTTTAATCTTATAACAAAACAGAAATCAAGGTCAAGTAATGTCCCAAAGCATGGGCCCGAATTAATAGTGACACAGGGAACCAGAGTCCTTCTGTCCTGAGACTGTACTATCTTCAACATGTGAGTTTTCTTATGGTGCTGGGGATCGAACCAAAAACTTTGCAGTGCAAGCTACAACCCCAGCACTCCTTTCCCTTTTTCTATTTGGAGACAGAGTTTCACTCAGTTGCCCAGGCTGGACTTGACTCACTCTGCCTCCAAGTCAGGTTGTGAACTTAAGAGCCTTAGTCTCCTAGTAGGTGGAATTATCCGCCTGTCTAATATATGGTTTCAAAGGTCACTAAGCTTAAGGTCATCTGTAGCAAGTTCAGAAGCAAAGGCTATGAAAAATGCCCCTCAAAATGTTTTCCTTGATTTTGTTTTTAATATTTTAAAATATTTTTATTATTATTATATTTTATTATATGGCTATTTTGTCTGCATATATGTTTATGCACCACATTTGTGCCTGGCACCCTTGGAAGCTAGAACAGGACATCAGAACACCTGGAACTGGAGTTGCAGACAGTTGTTAGCTACTATGTTGGTGCTAGGAATTGAACCCAGGTCCTCTGAAAGGGCAGTCAGTGCTCTTAATCCCTGAGTCATCTCTCTAGTCCTCTTGTTTTGTTTTTGGTTGTTTTGTTGGTGGTGGTGGTGGTGTTTTTTTTTTTGTTTGTTTGTTTGTTTTGGTTTGGTTTGGTTTGGTTTTTGGTTTTTAGAGACAGGGTTTCTCTGTGTAACTTTGTAGACCAGGCTGGCCTCAAACTCACATAGATCTGCCTGCCTCTGCCTCCCAAGTGCTAGGATCAAAGGCATGCACCACCACTGCCCAGCTTGATTTGGTTTTTGGAGGCAGGGTTTCTCTGTGTAGCCCTGGCTGTCCTGGAATACTTTCTGTAGACTAGGTTGGCCTCAAACTCACAGAGATCTGCCTGCCTGTGCCTCCTAAATGTTGGGATTAAAGGCATGCATCACCACTACACGGCTCCCTTTTTTTTAATTTAAAAAACTTATTTACTCTTATTTTATGTGTATGGGTACTTTGCCTAAATTTACATACATATGTAACTAATGTGTACTGGAGTTTACAGAGGTCAAAAAAGGCCATCAATACCCTGGAACTGGAGTTACAGACAGTTGTTATTGGTCATGTGGGTTCTGGAAATAGAACCTGGGTCCTCTGGAAGAGTAGCCAGTGCTCTTAACTTCTAAAGCATTTTCCAGGCCATATTTGAATTATTCATTTATTTATTAGTTTGTTTTGTGCGTGTGTGTGTGTGTGTGTGTGTGTGTGTGTGTGTGTGTGTGTGTGTGAGTGTGTGTGAATTCAAGTGGCATGGTTGCCATCTTATGTGGAGGTCAGAAGATGACTTTCAGTTTTCCTCTTGTTTTCTCCACCTGTGAGGGTCAGGGCAATTCTCCTGTGTCCATTAACCATCGTGACATACAAATGCTGAGATATACATAATCAGCTGTATGTCATCACATCCACCTTTTTCAAATGGCTCCCAGGCGTTGTGCTCTTATTGTTAGGCTTGCTTGACAAGTGCTTTAACCTGTTGAGCCATCTTGCTAGCCCTGTTTGTTTTGTTTTGTTAAACAGGGTCTCCTATAGCTAAAACTGGCTCCCAAGTGCTAAGGATGACCTTGAGCACTTGATAATCCTGCCTCTAACTTCCAAGTTGATTCCAGGTGTATGCTTCCATGCCCCAGTTTATCCAGTGCTGGGGATCAAACCCAATGCCTCGTGCATTTTATTTATTTACTTTTGTTGTTGTTTTTCAGTGTGTGTGTGTGTGTGTGTGTGTACTTTGAAACTAATGTGCTATTTTGAGTATCTCTCTAATCTCTGGTGACCATTATCCAGGCCCTTTTCTGAATTTTGGCTTCATCCTAGAGTAAGCTTTCTCTTCCTGGTCCCATCTTGACAAACTATCCAAATCAAATATATCCTTCAGTGTCTATATTTATCCTTTCAGTGAAATGTATGGAGCATCCAGCATAGTCCTGGCACATGCTTGTTGAGTGATGCTGCTTCCTGTTGCCACGAGCCTTCACCGAGAACATGAAAACTCCATGGATATTTATCCCCTGACTAACGCCACTGCTCCTTACAACAACAGAATTTAAAACCACATTAATATGGTGTGCTGACTACTGAAACTTGAACCCCTGTTCTACCACTTACTGGCTGAATTAACCCATTGAGTTACTCATCTGTCTGTGTCTCATTCTCATCATGTGTAAAACAGGGGTGGTAATAGGGCCTACATTGCATGGCTATTCGAACACACTGTAAACACCCCCAAATGTGAAAATTGTTATTATTTCTAGCTCTTCTTGAGATTGAAATTTTTACAGGCTTTAATTCTGATGGAAGACAAAATTAACATTTGAGACTTGAGTCAGTCTTTGGACAGGCTTCATTCTTAGCTCATCCCAGGACCTTGAGCCATCTCCCCATCCAGCAGCTCGTGCTCTAACTCATAAATCCTGACTAATGACACAGACGTGTCGCCTTAATGTTTGTGCGGCCCAGTGACTTAATGCTTGAAGATCTTCAAATGAAAGGCACCCAAGGACAGCACCAAATACCCTCTTCAGTCTTAAAATTAAAAAAGTACCAAAAACATGGGAAAGGCAGAGATGCCAGAACCTACTGCAGCTAAAACAGGCAGCTAGGAAGAGGACAGCCATCCTTAGAATGTATTTATTTACTTATTTATTTGTGAGACAGGATCTCCTATGTAGCCCACATAGGCACTGAAATCTCCAGGATCCCCCTGCCTCTACCCCTTCAATGCTGGGACTACAGATGTGTGCCACTGCACCTCACCTAATCCTCTAATATAGACATGGAGAGAAGTTTGAACTCTATTCAAGGGTTAGAGGTGGCCCACAGGGGTAAGGAATGTTCAAGTCCTTAAGTGACTTGGGGTGTGGGAATAGTGTGAATCTTTCACCTATTCCAAATAAAAAACATAGCAACAACTTGTATTGTTACTCTAATTAACTTAAGCCAGTTTAAAGGCTTGGGCAAAGAGGCCTCTCTAAGTAGCTTGTTTGTGAGCTGTGGCAAGTCCTGCATCATGCCAAGCTCCCTTTTCAACCGCATGCTTCTCATTCCATAGTTTCGGGCCACCACCTCAGGCAATGAATGCATCCTATTCCTAGACTTAGAAGCCACTCTAGAGTGAACACGTGCAGGTGTGTGTTATCAGACTCTTGGCACAGAAATCCTCAAGCTGGAACAAAAGAGTAAGCTGTGGGACTTTTTACAAGATCTGTCAACCCTGAGGTCAGAGTAAGTTAAAAATAAATAACCACTACCACCACTGTGAGTTCCCCATCCCCAACGTGGTGACCCTGGTGACCAGCCAGGGTGTATGTATGTAGCTCATAGCTTGGAATGAGCCCTTGCAGAGTTCTACAGTTTCATAGCCTTGTCACTACACGATTCCCTTAAGCAACTTTTTCTTTGTATGTGGATATAACACTACGACCTATCTAATAAATAACTTGTAAAGCGAACAAGAAGGCTGTGCTGGAAGCGTTCTGCCCCGCTGAAAATAGCTATGCAGAACGCGTGAGAGCCCTCAACCACCAAGCACGCTACGAACCGGCAGGCACCACTGTATCAACCCGTCCTTCCTGAGGAATTATGGGCCGGGAAGTTCTTTGGTAGCCACACCCTCCTGAACTGCCACGGAAGTGAGAACTACAACTCCCGGGAAGCCTCAATGAGCCCACCCTGGCCCCGCCCTCTTCCCCGCCTCATTGTGCGAAGCCTCTTGGGACTTGTAGTTCAGGAGGTAGACAACTGAGTGGTTTCAGGTCACAGAAGAACCACACGCCCCAGAAGCTCTCGCGCCACTCTTCCCTCCTGCAGTCCGGTGCTGTTTTTGTTGTTGGTGAAAGGTGAGGGGAACAGCTGATCCGTCTGTGGGGTAAGAAACTTGGCCTAACTGAGGGTGGGCTTACGCGGGGGTGGTCAACCCGATTCTCAGCCTGCGAAAGGCTAATCCGAGAGAACTGTAGAAGAGGACAGCAGGAGACTTTGGGTTTTAATACTTTACGCACTGAAGAAGCCAGCCCCATGTTTCGGGTGTTGTTGGTTTCAAGGGGGCCTTGAGGAGGTAGCCCCCGCATTCTTACGGCCTCGCTTTCTTACGAGGCCTTCTCTGTAAAAGTTCGATCCTCTAGTGGAAGCTTGAAGGAACTGAAATATTTGCTTAATCTTTTCCAGGCAAGTCTTTGCCCTCACAGACCTTCCCTCTTTCACCCCAATCCAAAGATCTAAAGGCCTTTACTACGCTGAGAGGAAAACTTGCAACTTGTGGAATGCCAGAACATTTAGAGACCAACCGCGGCGAGGACACACACACACACACACACACACACACACACACCATTTGAAGTATACTTTAGATGGCCAGGACTACCAGACATAGAGAATGTTTGCAGCTGTTACAGATTTTTGGGGGGAGGGGGAGGGGTTCGGAGGTTCTCGACGCGTTGAGCTTTGTAGACAGTTCACACTCAACCCTACCCTCGAAAGAATTGTATTTGAAGAAAACAAACTAGATGTAACGAGGGATTTTTCAGAGATGAAAATAAAAAAAAAAGACATTGAAATAGGCTTACTCCATCTCTTTTCAAAGAAGAAACTGTTCCCTTTTTCATTGCTAAAAGACATTGAAATAGGGCTTACTCCATCTCTTTTCAAAGAAGAAACTGTTCCCTTTTTCATTGCTAGCCCACCTCTCTATTTACATGGAGTATCCAATACCTTTTAAAGTTTCTCCCCGGCCATCTCAGCCTGGTGTGGGTTTGTGGTGTTTGGGGGCGTGCATATGACTAGTGATGGCTGATTGGACACATCAGCTGCAGCTGACACAGGAAGCAGATTGGCCGGCTGGAGAGAAGAGGGCTGCCTCATAGCCCTGGACTGAGGAGTGGTTTATTTTTAAGTTAACATACAATGAATTTCATTATGACATTTTCTAACACGTACATCATATGTTCTTATTCATCTATGAGTACTGTTTTATGTTTTATTTTACGTGTGTGTGTGTGTGTGTGTGTGTGTGTGTGTATGTATGTGTATGTAGATATGCAGAACTCTGAGAACAACTTAGGGAAGTCTGTTTTCTCCTACTAGGTGACTCCCTAGGTGACTAAGTTGAACTCAAGTTGTCAGGTTTGGTGCCAAGCACCTTTACCCACCAAGCTATTCCACCCCCTATCCTGTACTCTGGATTGTTGTTATCTGTTCTCACCCAATTCATATTTTCCATATTAACTCTTGGCACTTCCCTTTCAACTCCATCCTACCTTTGTATCTTTTGCCACCAACCCAAGCATATGGCAGGATTTAGACAGAATTGAGGCTAAGTGGTGCCAGCAGGAAATAGGGAATAGAGCTGAGTTAACATCCAGTCAATCGCTGGGTTTCTAGTTCTGCTCTGGGCAAGATGGGGCGGGGGTGGGGGGGTGGGGAGGAGTGTTCCATGTTGAACTCTGTCCCTTTTCTCAATAGTGAATGTACATTTCACCTTCTCAGGGCCCCTTATTTACCCAATTTCCAACCTGTCCCCTGCCTAAGGGTGGGGCTTTCCTGGCTCCAGGCCCCCACATTCCATCTCCCCACACCACCACCTTCCTGCTGAATATTTCACTCCACCCTTGAACTGCCACCTCCAGAATTTTTGACTTCCTGGAATAGAACTTGAGGGACAGAACCTGTCTTTCCTATCCTCCTCCTCTTCTCTAGTTCTCAGAGGAGAGCCCAAGCTTGCTTTCTTCTGCTTCCCTGGAGTTGATCAGGATGGACAACTCAAGGGCAAAAAAACTAAGAGCTGAGGAGCTAGGATTAGGCTGCTGGTCCCTGAACCTATTCCATCTCTGAAGACTCATTGTCATCAGAGATTAGTTGTTGTTTTGGGGCATCTTACCTGAGTACAGCTTAGGCATATATAAGGGAGCCCTGCTGAGACTGAGAGGGCCCACACATCAGGTGAGTTTTGAATTTTGGAGCCAGAAGGTGGTATGTGGTGTTGGATGGGAAACCAAGAGAATTTGGAATTCCCAAGGATGTTGAGAGATGAAAAGGAGAGACACCTGGAACAGAGACTTGGTCAGTGGGGCAGTAAAAAGGAGTAGAAATTAGACAAATGAGGGCCTATAAGCCAGAGAGGGTACAACATGACAGAGTGGGAAATAGACATGGAAGGTCAGACCTAAGCCCCAGAGATTTAGAGTGATACCTTAAAAAGGTCCCACAACCTTAGGGGCTGGAACCAGGCGTGTCCTGTGTAGACAGGGACTGTGGATGGCTGCATATATGTCAGGGGAGGGAAGCAAAGTGGACAGACAAAAGTCTGACACCCCTTTCTTTCAAAGGAGAACAGGCATCTTGAGGGCAGGATGGAAGAGTCATCACTAAGCCGGGTACCATCCCGGAGTGGAGTCAACTTCCTGAATGTAGCCCGGACCTATATCCCCAACACCAAGGTGGAATGTCACTACACTCTGCCTCCAGGCACCATGCCCAGTGCCAGTGATTGGATTGGCATTTTCAAGGTATCCTTAAACCTTCTGGTGCAGGCTTATGGGACACAGGTTGGTTAGAATATGAGGAGTGACTAGATCCTTAAGATTCTCAAGTTGATGGGAGAAAGATGACACAGATGCCAGAGGCCTTCTGTATAAACTTCATTTCTCCACCTTAGCCTTTCTCTCTCTTGATAGTATAATGTCCCCCAACTTTACCTGAGTCTTAGCATCCTTGGTACCACTCATTCAGTCATGCTGACCCTTCTGTCACAAATGGATGGTGATTCTGTCACTGTAACATTCTCTTTCAGGTGGAAGCTGCCTGTGTTCGGGATTATCACACATTTGTATGGTCTGCAGTGCCAGAAAGTACAACTGATGGTTCCCCCACCCATGCCAGTGTCCAATTCCAAGGTATAAAGATAAATTGGAAACTGGGATGGAGGAGCCACAGAAGTGGTGGTTTAGCCTACAAGGTGGTAGGCTAATAGGCATAAAAAGTACAGAGGATAGCCAGGCAGTGGTGGTGCAGTCCTTTAATCCCAACACTTGGGAAGCAGAGGCAGTGAATCTCTGTGAGTTCAAGGCCAGCCTGGTCTACGGAGAAAGTTCCAGGACAGGCTCCAAAGCTACAGAGAAACCCTGAAAAAAAAAAAAAAAAAAAAAAAAAAAAAAAAAAAAAAACCAAAAACAGAAACAAAAAAACACCGAGGATAAGGAAATGTGAATTCGAATAACTCTTAACTGCAGGCCTAATGGTACTCCAGTGTCATCCCAGCTACTGAAGAGACTGGGGGTAGAGGATAACCTGAACCCAGGCTATCAGCGCTGGCCCGAGCAACATGCCAGACCCTGTCTCAAAATAAATAAATAAATAAATAAATAAATTGACCTTGTGAGACATTTTAGCAAGTTATCACTGGGGTGGCACCAAGCACTTGAAGAATCCAGTAGAAGGATGGATTTAGAGGGTGTTAACCCTACTGTTTACCCCAAAGAAAGAGAAACTCCAGTGTAAAACAAGGAAAAGTGTGTGGTAATGTCCAAAAAGAGTGGTCATAGCAGTATGAATGCCCTGGATTCAGATCTCAACAAGCTGTTTAGCATTGAACAGGTGACTTAAAAGAGGGTCCCTGCTTGTAGGAACAATGGAGGTATTTAAAATGATCTGGTTAACACGGGTGGTGCAGTGTGTGGTACATGTTGGCACTCAATAAGTGGCAGCTGTAGTCCGTATGATGAGGAGGGAATGAATTTGAAAAAAAGAAGGTAGCTAGGCAGGGAGGAGGAGGATTCATATCTTAAGGACCAGTCCCAAGGGAGTGGACAGTAGGTAACTTGGTAACACCAAGGGACCTGCTAGCACTTGAGAGCCAGAGGTAATACTGGGGTTCTGGACCATTCTTCCCACAGCCAGCTACCTGCCCAAACCAGGAGCCCAACTCTACCAATTCCGGTATGTGAACCGCCAGGGCCGGGTGTGTGGGCAGAGCCCCCCATTCCAGTTCCGAGAGCCAAGGCCCATGGATGAGCTGGTGACCCTGGAGGAGGCTGATGGAGGCTCTGACATCCTGTTGGTTGTCCCCAAAGCCACTGTGCTTCAGGTAAGAATAGCAGACTTGCTCCTCAGTCAGGGATGCCAAGGACGGTATTAAAGGGCCCCTTCTTGCTTCACTTTCCCTCCTCTGTCACCTCAACTGAAGACTTCATTGGGAGTTACCAAAGGTCTGCTCTCCAGAAACTTAGGCTTCACATAGGCACAGTCACATAGGACAGTAGAGCAAGCCATCACAGGCCGGTGTAACTCAAGGTTCCTAGAACTGAGCCAGCCTTTTCAGAGAGACACTGCCTGCCCTCTAAGTCCTAAAGGAGGTCCACAGGGTGGAGAGAAATTGCGCCAGGGAACAGGGGAAGAGGGAGGCTGAGATCTGCTTCTAGCACGGGTAAGGCAGGGCTCTGAACTACCCCATCCAGTACCAGAGGTGCTGACCACATGTGGCTCTTTGGCACTTCAGGTATGACTAATGTGATTTGAAGTATAATCACAGGTAAGATAACACACTAGATTTTGAACACTTAGTATTTTACATTTATTTATTTATGTATATCTGTGTATGTTTTCATATATATATATGTATATATGTGGGTACATATATGCTGTAACACATGAGAAGGTCAGAGATCAACTTATGGGAGTTGGTTCTCTCCTCCTACTGTGTAGGTTCCAAGGGTTGACTCAGGTTTCCAGACTTGGCAAGAAATACCTTTATTTAATGAGCCATCTTGCTGGCCCAGCCATGGGCCACCATCCCTCAGTTACTTTTCCCAGCCTAGGTATATGTACCTGTATGTACATGCAGAGACCAGAATGGAGGGCCGTAGAGCACTCTGGAGCTAGAGTTATTGGTGGTTGTGAGCCATCTGATGTAGTTGCTAGGAACTAAACTCTTGTCCTCTACAAGAGCTGTTTCTCTAGCCTTCCTATCTTACTAAAGTAGATACTAGAAAATTTAAACTTAAAAAACATGCCTTATATAAATGTTTCCACTAGGCCAGAGAGAGTCGTCTTAAGAGCAAAGAGGCAGGTATGAGGAAGAGAGCCCGAGGGAAGGTGAGGGACAGGGGCTGGTGGGGAAGCAGTAATTTCTTCAGAAGGGAGAGCAGTTGCTCAGAAGGTGGAAGTGATTATCTCCTCAGCGATTTAACTCTCTAGAACCATAGTCTGATAGATACATGGATCCACGTGACAGGAAGATGTTTATACCCAAGTGAGAAATAGTGCAAGCTGCTACTGCGTATTCTGTTTTACATCGATTACTCTCATTTAAACCTCACAGATGACTGGTTCAGTGGTTTGGCTAGTAAAAACTGCACTGGAGATTTACCCAGATCTGTGTGACTCTAAAGAGAGAGGCTAAACTTAGAGGAGCCCCCCTTGACACTGAGCCCTGTCAGAGGAAGGTGTCAGGCCTGGGCTGACAGTTAAGAGAGAACTATAGCTGCGCCCTACTGACTTGGTATCTCTACCCTACGATGCGTCTGGAATGGTGCCTCACAGATACACCCCCTTCTCCTCATGCTCATGTAGAACCAGCTGGATGAGAGCCAGCAAGAACGGAATGACCTGATGCAGCTGAAGCTGCAGTTGGAGGATCAGGTAGCAGAGCTGAGGAGCCGAGTGCAGGAGCTGGAGACCACTCTATCCACAGCCAAGCGGGAGCATTTGGAGCTCACAGAGCAATACAAGGTGGGAGTTGGGGCTGGTGGGGAATGGGGCCTAGACCCAGCAAATAGGAGAAAGGAAAGATGTCATTGGAGTTTTTAAGATGGTCCTTGCATCAAAGAAATGGGCTTAAGGGTAACAAGTGAGACTGAACTTTATATGATAAGAGGGATGTTCCTAATTTGTAATAAGACTCAGTTCTTTGGACCCAGGAATACTGGCATAATGCCAGGTAACAATATCTCCATTCAGCTTTTTCAAGGAAGGTGGCAGGACAGAGGTTGGGAATATAATGTTAAGCCTGAGTCTTGCCTTCACCCTCTGTCTTCCAGGGGATCTCTCGGTCCCATGGGGAACTCACAGAAGAGAGGGACATCCTGAGCCAGCAGCAGGGAGAACATGTGGCCCGTATCCTGGAGTTAGAGGATGACATCCAGACCATCAGTGACAAAGTGCTGATGAAGGAAGTAGAGCTGGACAGGTATGAGTACCTCGCCAAGGCCTCCACTCCATCCCCATGTTTCAGATGGACATACCTTCTGTCTGTCTCACTGGTTTCTCTGACCCTTCACAATCTCATACAGGGTATTCTATTTACTAGGGGTTTCTTTCTGCCAGCCCTTGTCCATCTTTCCTAATGCTATTCTATGTTTTTCATCTTCAGAAAGATAAGTTGTATATATTATATGGCAGAAGCTAAGCAGAATTAGAGATGGAATATTTACAAGAAAAGATTAGAGAGGACAGTCAATGAAAGATAAAAAGGTTAATTTCAGACCTTACTACAGGGCATGCATGTGGGTAGCTGAGGCAAGAGCATCCCTTGAGTCTAGCCTGGGAAACATAGCAAGACTCATAATGTAGTCATATAAATAAGTTGTGTATGTATATGCAGTGAATAAATAAATTAGATATTTAAAGCACAGGAAAAGAATTAGATTCCATCCTTGCTATTGGAAATGTTCATTGTCACAGCTCAGCGGTTAGAACACCTTTTGAATGTGTGCAAGGCCCTAGCTTCAGTCCCAGCACTATAAAAAAGAGAGAGAAATGTTAAAGCTCGTGATCTGGGAGTATGACAAAAGGTATAAATCACAGAATCTTTTTATTGGTTTGTCTGTTTCTTTGTTTGTTTTGAAACAGTCTCACTGTGTAGCTCTGGCTGTCCTAGAACTCACTATGTAAACCAAACTGTCCTCGAATTTACAGAGATCTTCCTGCCTTTGCCTCCCAAATGTTGAGACTCAAAACATTGGTCACCATGCTTAGCTAAATCACAGAATCTTAACACTAAGAGTGACATACAGTGTATAAGAGAAAGCCACTCTCAGGACATCAAACAGCTGTCGTTTCTGTGCCTCTTGTACAGAGCCAAGCTCTACCTGTTGAAGATGCGGAGACAGGAAGAATATAAGAGAAAGCCACTCTCAGGGCAACAACAACATCAAACAGCTGTCGTTTCTGTGTCTCTTGTACAGAGCCAAGCTCTACCTGTTGAAGATGCGGAGACAGGAAGATCACAAGTTAGACCTTCCTAAGCAACATAGTGATTTATAGACCAGTCTGGGATACATACTGAGTTACAGACTAACCTGGGCTACATAGTGAGTTATAGACCAGCCTGGGCTACATAGGGTATTATAGACCAGCCTGGGCTACATACTGAGTTACAGACCAGCCTGGGCTATGTAATGACTTATAGACTAGCCTGAGCTACATAGTGACTTATAGACCAGCGTGAGCTACATAATGAGTTATAGACCAGCCTGGGCCCTGTAACAAAGAAGTCCCTGTTCTTTAAAAAAAAATGAAGAAAGAAAGAAAAGAAAAAAACACAGTTATCATAGTTATGTTTATCAAATAGTTTAAATACTGATTGACACCCATGCCTGTCTTTCAGATTCTTTTACTATGTTCAACATCCCAATTCTTTTGTTCATCAAAGAACATTATTAGGTTACTTTCATTCAGCATTGTTGGATCTTTTTTTAAAGCAACAACAAAAATCTTTGTAAAGGAAAGAGAAATTCTGCCCAAGTCTTAGGGCAGTAAGTAAAGCTATCCCAGAGGTTGCTCCTTAATGTACTACTAACCTTGCCCTAGGTCAGTACAGAGGTCTATGTTCTCAGAGGCATCTGGACCAAGAGCCCACACACTATGCTTCACGTGCCTCATCTAGCCTACCACCTGTGTTCTTACGTGATTTGGAGGCTGATGATGAGATAAAAGAAGAATGATATTTTGTAATAATGAACATGATAAGAAACTCAAATGTCAGTGTTCACTAAGTAAGGTTTTATTGGGCCATGCACATCTGTGCACACACTGTCTATGGCCTCTCTCAAGTCTGCCCCATCTGATCTACAGCAAGTTTAGAATCAATAGTGATTGTACATTGTCTTTGAAAGATTGGATTTTCATCTCTTAATTGAGTGGAAACAGGGAGCCATTGCCACAACACCCTGTACAATGATACATAAAGAAGGAAGCGGGGGGGGGGGGGGGGGGGGGGGGCAGCTCAGTCAATAAAGTGCTTGCTTTCCAAGTGTGAAGCACAGTACCCAGAGCCCATATAAAAACACTGTTTGTGGTAGCATGGGCTTGTAATTCCAGTGCTGAAGACATAGAGACGGGAGGACCTCTGCAGCTCACTGGCCAGTCTTTGGCTCAGTTGGTGAGCTCCAGAACTGTGGGTACACTCTCTTCCTCAAAGGCAGTGGGTGACATTCCTGAAGATGACTCCCGCGGTTGTCCTCTGGCCTCTACGTGCATAGGCACCCACATGCATGACAACTAATGATAAAAGAAAAAGAGACAGAAGTGAGGACGGAGGCGGGAGCCCTTTGCTGGGTGGACTGTGGGTTTATGTACCACATCCTAGAATCCCAGCTCCGGTTGATCTATGCAGAGTCTACAGGCATCCTGGAGATGGGACAGATGAAGACTGGAAGACAGGCTTCCAACAACACTCTCCCCACATACAACTGTTGTCAAACCACAGAGGACCCTCCAACACCCTCAAAATGTCCTCCCACCCACCACCTCACAGGCTGTGGCCTATGTCAAGTATCAACTGCAATAGCGCCACCTCCAGGCTATGCTGGAGAAATGCACCTCTCACACCCACAAGCTTGAAGGTGGGGTGCTGGAGAAGGGGTCTGGACAGCAGTGTCTAGGCTGAAGTTGCAACGTGGTGGTACTGGATAGCTAGCCTCTTCCTTGGGTTTTGTTCTTCCTTTTTTCTTTTTTGCGTTTTTCCCTTTCCTTTTCCTTTTCTTTTGTTGTGGAACAGGACAGAACTAATGCAGCCTAGGCTACATAGTGTTCTACCAGTTGTGTATGCCACACATGACATCCATTCCTTTAGAGGTACTGCCTTTATTACATGCAGGTAGTTGTGTGTGTGCCCACAGGTGTGCCATGGTGTGCATATGGAGGTCAAAGAACAACCTGAGGGAGGCGGTTCTTGCTTTCCACCATGTGGGCTCCAGGGTTCAAACTCAGATCATCAGGCTTCGTTCACAGCAAGCACCTTCACTTGCTGAGCCGTGTAACCGGCCTACACAGTACTTTTAAAGGGAAAATGGTTTATATGATAGGAAGAGGAAGAAACCATGCTGTCTTCATTAATTCCACCCCTCAGTTAGTACTGGTAAATGCTTTGAGGAAAACCCTTGGGCAAATATTCTTACACATCTCTGTGAGGCCTGATCCTGGGTACAGCTCCCAAACAGATGGAATACAGGCTGTGTGCTCTCAACAATGGCTGTTCTTCACTCTCCTGCTCCAACCAGGGTTCCTAGGTTCCACCACAATCTGAAGGTTGGAACATGAGGCTAGTCACTGCTCTCCTCTCTTTCCCAGCTGCCCCTCTTGGGGCTGCAGAGTTAGGAAGCCTCTTATATGCCATGCTGCCATTCGCATCAATGCTTGGATATGCCTCACACACCTCGGCACTTGCTGTCATCTGTGTGCTATGCTTGATTAAGGAAGGGAGTAACCCAAGACGGTAACTTGGTCACAACTAACAAGACAAGAGATGACACTTGTGTCTAAAGCCAAACCAATGGGCATGGTCAGAACCAAGAAATCTCCAAAAAACTATTTAAAAAAAAAAAAAAAGACAGGGCCTCACTGTGTAGACCAGACTGGCCTGGAACTCACAAAGATCCATTTGCCTCTGCCTCTCAAGTGTTGAGATTAAAGGTGTGTATCACCATGCCCAGGGAATTCAACTATTTTGACAGTGCCAATCAACTAACCAAATACAGCTTGGGTGCCTACCACCTCCGTGTAGGAATAAAAATGTAAGGCAAATATCATGGCGGGGGTGGCTGGGTAGACGGTGTTGCCCTGAGCCCCCACTGTCTAGCAAGCAGACGGTACCATTGCATACAGGACACACCAGGGTCTGGAACTGGGCAAACATTTCTCCAAACCCTCAAAGCCCTTCTGCACACAAACTCTCAAAGTCATAAGCTCTGGAATCAGGAGGCCTCATGTCCAAGTTCCAGCTTAACCACTTCAAAGGGCTGTTGCATTGACGAAGACACGGTACATGTGAAGTGCTTAGCAGGCCTCTGACACATGCTAAACCTCAAAAATGGCGACACATTAACAACCCGTAACACAGGAAATACACTCTCCATTTTTATGAATAATAAAAGTGACACCCAGAGAAGAGGCCAAGTGACTTACAGAAAAGCAGAGCTCAAACCCGGGCTCATCTGCCTTGCCTCTTCCTGTGGTTTCCATCTTCATCTGACTCAGGTTTCTCTGCCAGGACTCTGGGCTGGGCCCAGTACTCACTATATCCTTCACAGGGGCTCCCAGACCTGAAGTCCACCCCAGGGTGGAAGAACAGGCCTCACTGGGCCTTCCTGTCAGGAGTCCCTCAGGGGGTGGGAGGCTCAGGGCAGGCCTGGGCCCAGGCTGGGCTACAGTAGGCTCCCAGGTGTTGGGGAAGGCGGCTGCCTGGCCGTTCTCCAAGTACATTCAGAACCAACCCAAGGGAAACCCCAATTGTGTCAGTGCCGGCATGCCTGGGGCACAGGCATTGGAGACATTAAATATTAAACATGTCGGCTGCCTTCCAAGCTTGGTAATTAAAACTCTTATTTCATATTTTACACAGGATGGACGGGGGGTCGCAGCCTGCTGTAAGAGGTTTTGAAGTTCCTCCTTAACAAATGAAGTGGCTCTTCAGAGGAAAATCTCCCTCTCGCTTGAGACCCTCTTGCCCTACTTAGTCATTTCCAGGGAGAGAGGACACGGAATGGAGGTCAGAGGGTCTCCAGGGTTGGGGGTGGCATTCATGGACCCCAGCAGGTTCTTGGGCTCTCTGTCTACTTCTCCTTGAAGTGTCTGTGTCTCCAAGAGGATACGAAGGCTAGATTGCAGGATCCCCTAGAAATGGCAACCTGAATGGCAACCTGGGAGCTAAGATCTCTGCAAGTTTAAGAGGGAAGGAAAGCTGGCTCAGAGACCCGCCGGAGGGAGGGGCGTCTTCCCTTAGCCTCCAGTGCCATCTGCTGGCTATGTTTTGAACTGCAGCTCTGCCAGAGGCCAACTAGTAGCCAAATATGAGTTCTAAGCAAAGGGCCA